GGAACCGTCCGCCCCGGTCGTCTCCTCTCATAAAAGCCGCGAGCTCGTCAAGAAGCGCAATTTGATGTATGGCTTGTTGGGCCAGGTAAGTTTGCTCCTCGCAAAGATGTCGTTGACCCGCTACTATTACACTAGATAGGATTAACCCTTCCGGCCCGCCGCCGCCACCGCCGCCGTCGTCGACGTCGCCATCGCCGTCGCTGCCACCGCATCGCACCGCCACAGAGCCGCATATACACGTGTACATATATCTGTATATAACGTGTATACCGTGCCAGAGCGCTACTGGAAGCGTGCACGGTACGCTCGTTAGTGGCCTCCGAGTCGAAACCCTGAAATTTCCATATTCGTAGTCGCGCACGACGGAGCCCGGCGACCGGGATTTTTAGCGCTTCATCTGTTTGTCTCTCAAACTCAACTTCCGGGACAGTTTCGTTCCCCGCGCACGAACGGCCGCCAAAACGCAATTGAGTTATCTGATGTGTCGCGCAAATCACTGAAATTACTTTTTAGAAGAGTCGACTACTCATTGGCAATTAACTCAGAAACTTGCGCTTTATTTATTTATTCCGTGATTTTTTGCAAACTAATTATTCTCTAATTATTCTCGCGGCGTATCGAGCCCTTAAAATCTTATTAGCGGAGTTGATAATCTGAAGGAGTGTACTCTTATGTTATATCTGTCAATAACAAGTAGCTATACCCACGTCAATTTGGTTCGGGCTAACTATCACGTAATTTCATCATGTTCGCGATGTCATCGTCTCGAAATTACGTTCCACAAGGCTGCATCTCTTGTATACCATTGAGCAGCACCGTAGCCGTGATTGTCGATGCTTCTCCCCTTCCGCCTCCCGCCCCCTCGCTCCCCTAATGTCTTTCCTCTTCGTGCCAAGTATCAAATAACTTGGTTATATTTGCAATATCGACACCCCGATACGTCACGCCACCGGAAGTAGCCCGACGATTCGCGTCCGAGCGAATCTTCTCTGCGCTCCTTGTCTATTAAATCTAAACCTCTCCGCGCCGTGAGTGAGTAAAAGCACATCCTCACTCAAAACTTAAGCATTCGTTTAGTCGTGGGAAACGGATAGGATATCGATCCCCGATCTCGGCTCATGCGATAGGCTCCTTATCGTTCCGACTTCAGTGGCGCGCGCGGATGTGGGGCCCGAAAAGTTAACCCTCTCCCTCTTTCTCCTCATCGCCGCTTTTCTTGATACCTCTTAAACTTTGGTTAAACTCTTTCTATGGAGACGTAATGCGGTCTACATTCGGGCGAATTCGATATAAGTGCGCCAAGTTATGTATGTGGAACGTTTTTCTTCGAAACTTTAAGTTATGCGGTATGAAGTCAAATACGCGCGCAAGAGAGAAGTGAAATATATGTATATACATACACACACATGTACTATATGTATGTGTATATATATAGACACATGCTAAATCTTGTCTGCGAGCATCGAGATTGCCTCGCGCGCTACGGAGTGCATTATACAGTGATGTATCATCAAAGACAATACGTTATAGGCAGGTCAAGAGAATAGTATCGCGTCTCGTGCAGCGCGCGCGACTGCAGTACGAATTTTCTTCTTTTTTTTTCTCCCTATAGCAAGAAGTAAAAGGATCAGGCCTTTGAGAAATAAGAGCTGGAAATGTTTCAGTTACCTCCTCCTCTCATGTTAAATGATTCCGTGTTCAAGCGACGCTTATATCGAATTCCATCTAGCATGTACGGCGTCAGGTTGCACCTGAAGGCGTATAGTAAACCGAATGAGAGCGCGGGCGGGGATGTAATCGTAGAGGAAGGCCGAGGATATCTTCTGTGTGTACGTGCGTGTGTATACATATGCGCACCTGGGGTCGCGCCGCCAAGTAAAATACGAGGGGTACGTAATGAGAATTTCTAATATGAAAAATCAAAGACGACTGGGACGGTTACCTACCGCGTGGAAAAATGCTTTCACACGATCAATAGCGCATTTTTCGCTTCCGCTACGCCGTTACGCGGCGGAAACGCGGAAAAGCAGATATATGCGGGAGCATGGAAAGCAATGTTGTGTTTGCGAGCGTCAGATACAACTGGGGCAACTATCCCGTGACGGATTTATAGTACACGGGGCCCGGTGCGCCGCCGCCATTTTTCCGCGAGACCCCCATTATTGATCTGTCAAAATATTGATCCACTTGAGAATGTTCTTAAATGCTAAAAATGCGCACGACGCGGCGATGCGAAATGCAATTAATTAGTGCTACCATTACTAACGATAAAACATTTGCGATATAAATTATCGTAATAATAATAATAATAATAATTGCTAGTCCGTTTTTAATTATCACTTCTATTATAATATCTGCAAATTTAATTGCGTTTTTGATTGTAATTCAACGGAAATCAAATTGATTCATTCACATATTTTCCCATTTTCTCTCTCATTCCGGGCGTCGATTAATTCGCGGCAATTCAACGATCTCGAAATGTCCTGTGCTCCGCGGAGAGTAGAAAGGAGAAGAAAAAAAATAATTATGCACTAACACGTTGTTCTCTTTTCCCGGGCAACCAGTCTCTTTTTCTTCTTCTTGTCTTTATTTCCGGAGCACGAAGCCCTTGAATCCTCGAAGCATCGCGCGTAAATCCGCACAGCGACGGGACCCTCCGAAGTAATCAGAACCGGCGTCTATTCGCGCGCGTCATCTTTCCTCACCCCCGCGTCGTCGTCCCAGATACAATGCCTTCTGTCCTGTTTCTTCCGCAGCCCCTTCCCCTCTCTCCCGGCTTTCTTACCCTCTCCTCCTGCGTCCGACACGTCCGGGTATGTTATCGCGCCCATTGCGGCTCGGCACACAAACCGTGTGTGCTCCGTTTCATCGCAACTGATTCCTGAACTTTCGTTTGCATGCCAGCTCGTGTGTTTATAAACGGGAATGAAACCGGCAGTTCGGGAGCAAAGTGGACCGGTCAACGCGGATGACTCGGATCGGCACGGCGTATGCGAGGCGCGTGAAATTCACCGTGAATGTCTAGGATCCGAGTCATTTGTTTCCTCCCCCGCATCCAGTGTCCCCTAACTGCATGTGTGCAGCACGCAGATCAGATTAAGGACGCTCGCGCCCGCCGAGAGACTAACGACGGGGCCGACGTGGCGCGGCGATACGACAGGAGATAGACGCCCGCCCCGTTGGCCCGATACCATTGTCGCGGTCTATCTATCGCGCCACCGTTGACTAGCTGCATCGCTAGTCAACACCGACAGTGGACGACGGCGACGGCGGCGCGGCGCGAGCGGTCTCCCTTCACGCCGCAGGATTCCGTTAATCCGCGCGGGCGGGCGCGCTTCGAGGTGTCGACGTCGCGCGGCGGCGGTAATGAAATTACTCGATATTCGGCCGCCACCGCACCACACAAACGGACGGAGCATTAACCATCGCGCTTAGTTACCGCTAGCCGTTGATAACAGACACGGACGTGGCCCCCCCTCTAGATCCTAATTTCGTGGTTTCGACGACAATGAAGGCAATGCTAAGAAACACAGTCCGGTTATCAGCTTTATTTACACGGGGGTTTTATCAGCGTTGCGATAAAATACATTAGCGTTAAATCAAAAAGTCCCGCGACATGCTGCTAATTATGGGCGTTGATATTCAAACTTGACGTTTATTAAATATCGTTATTATCAATAATATAATATTATTTAGTTTGTCAAGATACCTTCTATTCGGTACAGCCTAGGGTTGCCATCGGTTCTCTTTTCCTTGAACATGTTCTCTTTTTTAGGGCCTCAAGGAATATCAAAGAAATATTTCGAAGGCAATCCAGAATAACTATTTATAGAAAGAAATTGACTAATCACAGTTGAATGTCGAAGAATAATTGATTGGTCAAATGTGAAATAATTATTCATTAACTATTTTAATCAATTTTATTAACTTAAACACATTTTTGTGCGTTCAGGATTCCAAGCGAAATGTCCGGGATTTTTTAACTCTATATTTTTAAAAATTTTGATATGGCAACTCTAATCTAGCCTTTCAACTATTTATTATTCGTTGCAACAATAAAGTATTATTATTAAAAATAGTCAATATTTAAAATAAAATATTCGATACTCTGATGTCAATTCGCAAAAATTTCTATTTGCATCTGGCGTTAAGTAGTCCGTCTTTCGACAGTGCGTAGAGTACGATTTCCGCACAGGCGCTCGCAGAAATCACTCTTGTTCTCTTCTTCCCTCCCTCCTTCTCTCTCTCTCTCTCC